CGGGACCCGGCAGGAAATGGAAGGATGAAGTGTGCAGCCGGAGCGGTGATGTTCCTTCTCTCCTTGCTTTCCCCCGCAGGAACGTAATTCACAATGCTAGTTCTCAGGTTGCTCAATGTTGTCGCTCCAGCCTACTTCTTGTGCATCTCCCTAGTGACCTTCGTCCTCCAGATCCTTCTCTTCATCCCCAGCATGTTCAGAGACCCTTCCACCACCTCACTACTCTCTCCTGCTCTGCTGCATGGGGCCCTCTTCCTCTTCCTCTCAGCTAATGCCCTGGGCAACTACATCCTTGTGATCCAGAACTCCCCCGAGGATTTGGGCAAGGGCTTAAACTTGGGCAAAGGAGCTGAAGTGGTGGCGGACTGGCTGGATGGAAGCAGGTCCCCTGGCTCAGCCTTGCCCAGCACTCACTTCTGTAGACTGTGTGCCAGAGTCACCCAGAGGCATGACCACCACTGTTTCTTCACAGGGAACTGCATCGGGAGCAGGAACATGCGAAACTTCATTATGTTCTGCCTCTACACCTCCCTGGCTTGCCTCGACTCCCTGGTGGCAGGCATGGCTTACATTTCTGCTACACTCTCCATGTCCTTTGCGGACCCACTGGCCTTCCTCACTCTTCTGCCTCACTCCATCAGCCAGTTCTTCTCAGGTAAGGACTTCTTCCTCAGAGATGAGGAGTGTGTTCCTCCTCCAGGGCTCCTGGGATGGGGAGGGGACCAAATCTTCCTCGGTGAGCCGTGTGTGTGGAGGGGTAATAGGGAAGTGGGCAAGAGGGCAATTGACTGTGCTCAACAGAGCCTCCTTTGAAGGCTAGAGACAGCCTTTGCAAAGGACTTTGCTTCCCCTGAAATAGGAGCCAGGACCCACTGCAGGTTACAGCCAGAGCATGAGGCTCTGGAAAACATCCCATAACCAGTTTGCTGGTGATAGAATAGGGCTATCTGTTGTGCAGAGCATGTGTTGCAATTACACAGAGAAGATGTCCCACATGGATAGATTTCACTCATTATACTGCAGGTGTGGGGGATCTTTTGCCTGTCCTACAGACAGAGCTGGGGGAGTTTGTAGGTTTTTGTATCCTACAAATCTGCAGGTTTCCCATATCCCAGCAGGTATATCCTCATTCTTTTATCCAGGTCCACTCACCCCCTCCACTATCACCCACCTCCTGCCTCCTGGCAGCACAAGCTTACTGAGATCTTTTTATCTTTCCAGAACAGGAGAATTTGGGCTCAAGCAACAGAAACTGAGAGAGTCATTAATGTGGCATGATTAGCACACCTCTCTTGTGACCCCAGTCTGGGATAAAAGTCCACAGAGAATCAGGATAAATTCTCTGTGCCTGCTCTTTGTAAGAGCTCCACATCAAAAGTAAATAACACCTTCTCCTAGCTGCCATTCCTTACTCTTCCTTCTGCTTCTTCCCCTTTCTCCTCTTTCCCAATAAATCTCCGCAACCCTTCTCCTTCCCCCTCCTGATTTTACTCCCATAACTCATCCTCTGCTCTTCCAGTCTGGCCTCTTCACCTTTCAATACACCCTCAGCTTCTCCAACCTCAAACCTTTTTCTGTCCAAACCCAAGAGCTAGACAGAACATGGCCTCAGAGAAGGGACTGTGCAGACAGCCTAGACTATTAGTGTGCCCTGAAAGCGACTGCAGAAAATGCCATTTCCCCCCTACTGAGCTCATGCCCTGCACACTTAGATCAGTTTTTGCTAGACTAAAATAGGTATCCCATATATTTTAGCTTTGCAGATTCAGCTGAGCTCAGTAAGAAGGGAGTCTGTTTTGGCTTATGCACTGTCACTAGAAGTGTTGATTATGATCTGAGTGTGGAGTCTCCACTGCTGGGGATGCAGGAGCCAGAAAGGCACCAGCTTGCTTTTCAGATTCCAGGCTGGCTTTGCAGGGTTGTCGTCTGAAAACAAACAAATATCTCTCTACTTGGCAAATTAGCAGATTTGTCATGGTAATCACTGAGAGACAATAAACACGAAATCCTGCCATGGCATTTTTATGGAGTCATTTTTCCAACTAGAAGAATTTTTGTAAATGGAGTTGCATGAGCTTCACTAGCATTAAAAACACTGGGAATGATTTTCCCCTGTGCCTAAGCTCTGCTCAGCACAGCAGCCTGGGAGGGGGAGCAGGGATGTGGGAGGAGATTATCAAGGAATTAGTTCTCTCTGACTCTGAGGGTTCATCTGCACCAAGCTGGGTCCTGGCATATCTTTGCAGAGCCACTGAAGTGCCCCAGCTCTGGTGTCAGCAACTGCAGTGCCAAAGACAGCATGTGGGCAGTGTTTGAGTGGGACTCAACAGGGCTGGGTGCAGGGATGGGAGCCAGAACACCCTTGAGAGGCAGCAGCTCCAAGCAGCTCCCACCAAACCTGAGATGAGATATACTGCCTCACACAGCAATGTACAGGCATGTGGTGTCTTGATTGCTTGGGAGAAAGGGCTTACTGGGTTTCTACCAGCACATTTAACCTCTATTTCAGGAAAGAAAAGCACGTTCTTGAATAGTTACCTGGGAGGGCTGCCCACACAGTATTTTCAGCTAACACAGCTATTACTTAAGGGTTGTTGTATGATACAAACAGAGAACTGCTACAGCAGGGAAAAGACTTTACCTTTCTTCTTCTCCATCAAGCCCACTGTACTGCAGAAGGAGCAGAGGAGGGTGAAGGGTGAATGTGCTGGTCTTATGTCAATGAAGTGTTCCCTACTTTTCATGCTGGGAAAATTTTCAGTTGGCTCATTCTGCCCAGTCTGTTCTCAGGCATGGATTTCAGAATCTGACCCAAAGTCTGTAATTGCAGCCTGTGATTCAGCTTTTCTGGCATGGATAATGTATGGCAATAAGCTTGAGATCATACCAGGTCACTTAGTGCAAAAGTGAATCCTAGACTAAAAGGGACTGTGGTGATGAGGGACAAATGGAAAGCAGTTTTTGTAAACACAGGTCAGATTGGATCCACAAAAGAAATTATAGAAAATGTTTTGTGTAGGTAAACTGAAGAAAAGGTTAAAAAATCCATGTAGCTGAAAAGGATCGCCCAGAGATGCTTAATATTTGCAAGGGGAAACAAGTGTAATTACTTTCTGGATGTTGAATTTCAGCAGCTCATATAAATAAAGCTTACAGCTGCCCTGCAAAGGCTCTAAAGAAAATAGCTGTCTCTCTCCATATCCCATCTGAGTATCAGCTGTAGGAAAGAACAAATGTCTGTCACACTCTGGTCCGGGAAAACAGGGACAGAGAGGCCCATATTTGGCTCTGGGCTTCCTACCTGGTGGATTAAGTTATTCTGACAGAATTGGTGTGAGTATTTATCATTATCCTAAGGGGCTTGTTCTGCTCTTGCTGTGTTGCATACAGAGCCCACTGAGCTGAATGGGATCTAATAAGAAGGGAAAGATGACATTGCATTTAGGAAGAAAACTGAATGACTCCTGTGCTGTTTTCAAGTGAGGACAATCTCAGGCAGCTTGAGGCTGTAGTCTGTGTCCTTACACATCATCCTCAGAGTAGCCTGCTCCAATCTCTCTCTTACAGCACTCCCAGGTGGAGAAGCTGGGATTCACAGATTGCAAAACCAGATGATATCACCTAATCCAGCCCTCTGCAAAAGTGAAGCAAGATACACATATCCAGTGACCCTTGCATTGAACTTAAAACCTGAAGCAGCGATGTACCTGTTTCAGACAGCACACCTCTATTGTCCATGCAATCCCTGCTCCATCAAAATTGCTTTTGTAGGGCCATATTGCAATCAGAGCTTTCACCTGCCTGGGCCTGCCTGCCCCGTGTCTTCTGGAGGGATGGGAGCACATGAGAGCTTCTGCATTTCTAAACCTTGCAGAAACCAGTGAGAGGATATCAGCTATTGGCTATTTATACCAGCATTGACATTTCATTTCCCTTGTGTGCCTGTGTGTAAATATGGGTGTTTAATAATATACCAATGTACACAAAATACATGTGTAAGCATCATATGGGCACACAGGGAATATTGTATGAATGGGCTTAGATCTGCTTACACACTGAAAGGTCACCCAGTGATACTTGCTATTATATTAATATTTTCCAGAAAGAGTTCTAACATCTGTGTAGAGGAAAGGGCCTACAGAATACTTGTGTTTAAATATGTTCATCGTAAATATACAGTAAAAAACCCACCCCGTTGAATTAGGAGGTTCAGAGTATTTTGTGAATTCTAGCTGAAGCTTTTAAAAAGGAATTTGGATCATATTTTGGAAAGGTTTCTGTTTCTTTCTTGCATTCATGTGAAAACTGCCTTTGCTCAATGGTAGGAAAGTAATTACTGATATATTTTTCTTTTTTAACATTTTTATATACAGATATATACACATACACATATAGTGGAGAGAGAGAGAAAACAGAGGGGAAAAAACCCAAATCTTTTGCCTTGTATTAATACACACAGTAAGGCTTCTAGAAGCATCTATATACTGTAGGACCCACATCTCTTTTTGAAATTCTAGAAATCTTAGATTCACTGCGATGAGCAGGTAAATCCTTATCTAAACTAATCATTCTTCAAAACAGTGCTGGGGCCTTACAGACATGCTTCACTTCTGGCTGAATTTGTCCCTGTAATCTAAATTCTCACATTAACAGCAAAAGGAGAAGTGTACAGTGACCATTATCATTTTAGTATTTCCCCAGTGGCATCCACTATGAAGGAAATAATTTCACATAGTTAGAGCTACCAGCCTGTCTTGCTCCTATCTTACCCCACTTATGGTCAGAGAACACAGGTGGTTTGTCAGTTCTCGGGGCTGTGTTACACTTGCATGTGAGGTGTCTAACCTCTTTCTTTCTCTTGATCTGCAGGAGCTCTCCTTAGCTCTGAGATGTTTGTCATCCTCATGCTCTACCTCTGGCTTGGGATTGGACTGGCCTGCGCTGGCTTCTGCTGCCACCAGATGCTGCTGATCCTGCGTGGGCAGACACGGTACCAGGTGCGGAAAGGGATGGTGGTAAGAGCCCGGCCCTGGAGGGAGAACCTGCAAGAGGTCTTTGGCAAGAAGTGGCTTCTAGGACTTCTCATCCCTGTGCTGGACGTGGGAAGTGACTACTGTAGGCAGAAAGAAAAATGAAATCCCTCTGCGTCTGTATGCATGCCATGCACGCAACACCTCCCCTGTTCTCTCCCACTGTCTCCTGGATCACTAAAGAGCTGGGCTACTCCATCTCTCGGGCTTGCAGCCACTGTGGGAGAAAGGGGTGGGCTATCAAACTGAATAAATTTAGCTTATTAACAAACCAGGTAGGTGAAGAGATACTGCAGCTTAGTAGTCACATCACTGCATCTGCATATGTGGCAAGAAACTATCAGAAAAATCCATCAGACCCTGCTGTGGCTTCCTGCCCAACTCCTCCAGCCCCCAGCCCCATTAGTCACCCTATGTGGTCCTAACAAACCACAGCAGGGGCTTTCAGAGAGCCTGGGCTGTTGTGGTAGACTGTAAAAAGAGTGTCTGTTCCTTGGGAGGAAGGGGTTTGTGGAGTGCCTTTTTGGCTCTCACGTACTGGAGGTAACTTCACATGAGAGCATTCTTCAGTGAGTGCATTGTTCCAGAATTGTTTGGACAATGATCTCAGGCACACGGTGCGATTCTTGGAGTTGTCCTGTGCAGGGCCAAGAGTTGGACTTATCTGATCCTTGTGGGTCCCTTCCAACTCTGGATATGATTCTATGATTCACAGTACTGAGTAGCCCTTGATGACAGAAATGCAATGCAATCAAGCTGCCCTAGGAGCAGGCTATGTAAATGGCTAATGCAGCAGGTAAACCTTCTCTCCACAGGCTGGAAAATCAGGAGGAAAACAAAGAGGAATTGAGAATTTCACATTTCTGTTCTTGATCTGCTCCCTATACAATGATATGTCAGGACTGTAGCTCTGCTACTTATTTTTAGCAGTCCTTTGTCCAATGACACAGGGAGCAGCAAGCAGATAAATCATGATCAGATGGAGGTGCAAGGAGAGGAAACTGCAAAGGTGAATGAAAATGCTGTGTTTGAGAAGCTGTGTGATGAGGCAGGCTATGTGTGCCTGGGAGAGAGACAGAGGGAAGTGTGGACACACAGTAAGCAGTTGGGAGGGTGCCAAGATCCTTGCTGCTGTGTCAGAGCCCTGATGCATCACCCTCTCGCAGGAGACACCTGCACCATTAGTGTTGTGAAGAGTTCAAAATCCCAGAAGACAGTGAGGTTTTCCAGCCCATCAGGACACTTCACTTTGCTCTGAAACAAACAGAAAATATTTATCTCAGACATCCCTGCCACACTGTAGTTACAAGTTCTCCAGGGCAATTCCCTCTCGTATTGCTGCAGAGGGGTAAATTCATCCATGTTATAACTCCACTAAGGAGGTTGACAGAATTACTACAGGGATTAATCAACTTAATGTTTCAGTTGTTTTCTAGCTCTAGCAACAGCCCATGAGATCAGTGCTGAGATCCTATGCTAACAGATGCCTTAAGAAAGGATACCATGACATCTCTACCAGGATCATAGCACTGGATTCCCCAGCAGCTGCAGTGTGCAGCCTGTTTTGGCAAACTGCATCGGCTTATGTAGGCTGGATAGGAATCCATTGCTTCCATTTAACAGGCTGGAGAGTATGCTGACAAGCCGTGAAAAATGTTATTTCTTCCTCAGAAATGCTCTCAGTGCATCCCAGGGAAGGGAATGCACCTTGCTTTCATCCTTGCGTGTCTCACAAGCCAGAACAGAGGCACTCATTCCTACAAACTTTGAAATCATCTTTCAGTGCTTCACACTTGAATACATGTTTGAATCAATAACAAAGTCCATTGTGATGAGCAGAGTAACCTTGAAAATATACTGGAAAACCCCTTAGCTGGATAATTAAAACATATAGGATATACATCCTTCCATGCTGTGTGTCCACATGAACACACCGCTGTTTCCATGTGTAATATGCTGTATTTTCACTAACAGAGAACAATAAAAAGTGTTCTGGTTTTTTTCATGAGCCGTATTGTGCTTTTTGACAGTCAGCTGTCATTAGCTGTCTCTGTACATTTGTTACAGCATACACACAGACACGTTGGAAGAAGAAGTTAGGATTTGTTTATTGGCTTTGCTAATAATTGATTGTGTGATTTTGGACAAGCCTTTTCACCCTCTCTACTTTAATGTAATGACAAATCTAAAAATGCATCTAATAACTACCTTGCAGGCCCATTTTAATTTCTATTTATAAATTACAATATCAACCTCAACTGAAAGCTATGGGAAAATTAAGCTATTATCATCATCCACAAACAGAATCATGACACACATTATTCCTTACTGGCAAATGGCATCAAGGTGAGCAGACAGTCACCTTGATGCTGGAACCAGAGCCAGAGTCTTGTGCCATACACCTTGCCTTGGAAGGATTCCCAGGATTACTCTTATTCCACACTCACCGATCCAACTTCTCTTTTTTATACTTAAGGGCAACAGGCTCTGAACATTTCAGCCAGCAGCTGCCTCCCATCAGCAGAAATTATGGTTTGACATCTTTGCCCTCTACTTTTGACATTTGATTGACACTGCAGTCTTGGGCAGCTCAAGGCACTCAGTGCCTGCTGCCACAGTGCCTCGGGCTCTAAGCTCTTTGGGGCCACACGCTCTGAGAAGGGCAAACCAACTCAGAGTTTTGGTGGGCCACTCTGCAATGTTGGAATCCATCCAGTACAACAGGATTAGTTGCCCATGAAGCCTGTTTTCTCTTCACATCAGGGTTGGATCAGGCCTGGCCCCTGTGTCAGGGTCATAGCTGCCTGTGCCCTCACCACAGAGTTCCAGTCTTGCAGAAGCACAGATGGATCCCAGTCTGAGTCAATGCAGCACAGTCCTGCACAACTGTTCTTCCTGTCACACATCTGTTTCTGGATGTAAATTGCTAGATCACCATTTTATGCAGCTAAATGGTTCCTTTGCAGCAAACTACTGGATTTCAGCAGTAGTGGTGGGACTTTCAGATGGATACAGCCTTTACAGTTATGATCCTCTGGGACAGAAAGAGCTATAAAAATGTAACATTAGACTGACCCTGTATATTGGCTTATTTCTTTGCTCATTCCCAAGTGTGTAGACTGCCCTGTTTGGGGTAGAGTAGTGGCTCTGCAGGAACAGTTGAGAGTAGTTCTTTAATTATTCAGCTGCCCTGACATCCCTTCCTTGTCATACCTTTCTATACTTACATAAATCCTTGGCAAGCAAATGTACCAGAGCTCAACAAATGAACAGAACCTTTGCTCTTAGCTGTGATTTAGTAAATGAAGGCTGAACTCAATGGCAATGTCACAAATTCTAAATTTGTTCAATAGCTCTAAAGTCTTCTAAGGAGAAGTAATAAAAGCTTCTCATCTTCTGTGCTTAGAAAGTCATTATTTATTTTCATTTTATTAAATAGCAGCTGCAATAGCAAATATATTTTGGAACATGATTTTGTGTGACAATGTCTAATACTTACAAAGGTTTTAAAAATAAAGCACTTAAGGCTTCTCTGGCTTTGGAAATTCAGGTAAGTATCATTCCTTCTCTGATAATGCTAGTGGCTGAAGTAAAAGCTCGCTGTTGCTTAAGACCTTGCACAGAACCCACAGACTTTTGCTTAGTGCCTTGTCTATTTTAAGTGTAACTACCTGAAAAAATGTCTCAGAAGTCTTGGCAATGACAGTGTAGGGGATGCAACTGGGAAATAAACCAGAAGTCTGTTCTTATGTATAGTAAGAATCTCATACAAACTAAGTGGTAGATGGTGTTCCTCTTCATACTACACTATTGGGCAGCCCTCAAGGCCTGCATGCAAAATGTCTTCATCAGATATCCTCAGAGGATATAGAGTTAAAACATAAGAATCTCAAGTAATAAGGCATAGGGAACATAGGAGAAATGATGACGTGAAATAGCATTTATCTTAAGAAATAGCCAACTCAAGGGAGATGATCACACTCTAAAAATACTTGCAAGGAGACAGATTAAATGAGTGAGGAGACTCATTAGCTGTAAGGAGATAGCTGGAGGAGGATGAGCAGTCCTGGACTGAGAGAAAGAAAAGCAGAGGTCAGAGCTTAGGGCACCTGTCTTTAAAACAGCCAGAAGAGAGCAATCAGAGAAAGTGGCCCCAGTGAGAGCAGAAGTGATTTGATGTGTGCAAGATGAAGAGAGACATCAGACAGTATGAGTTATGACAACAGAATTCAAGTTACGTTCATTGCCTGTTGACTGAATGGACACAAAGAAAGTTAAGAAAACTCATTGCCAATCACTTTTTGCTCAAAAAAGTCAAAGCCTCAGCAGAGCCAAAAGGGTTTTTCCCTCTTGAACAGCAAATTATGTTTTAAGCAGGAGATGCATGGGTAGAAGCCGTAAGTAGCAGCAGCAGAGTCTATACTGTTCTCTTTGAGTTATTTAAAGACTAGCTAAAGCTATCATGGTTGGAGTAATGACCTACTTGTTCAATATAAATAAATAAAGGGAGAAGAATTTTTAAAGCATATGTAGAGTCTCTGTGCCCTGCTAGATACTCAAATCTATGGAAACACAACATCAGGCAACTTAACAAACAGTAATATGGTCTCTAATAACTATGTGTCCATATGTGGGTTCTCTGCTTTTCCAGCTCTTTTCCAGAAAGCCAGGGGAAGAAAGAATCCTTGGAGATTACAGCAAAAGTCAGCAAATGTGGACCAAATAGTGCTTCAGTCCTCTTAAATCCTGGCTTTATTACACCAAAGACCTTTTAGTATTGGTTGTCCTACTGAATCTAACTGGCAAGTGATGTCAGAGCCCAGGCAGGCCAGTCCCATGTGCCTTAAGGTTTTCGGAGCCTGAATCTTCTAGTCTTCCCAGATGTTTACAAAAAAATGCACTGTTTGCACAGTGCCTCATTTAACATGTCGTCAGTCACCTTAATAGTAGTTCCAGAATTGCTGTTAATTGAAAATAAATGGAGCATGTTGATCAGTTCACTTCAAAAGAGGCAAGGTGGTGGATAGCAATAGCAAGCTCTGTGTGTATAAGTTTCATTTGCGAATGATTTTACTGTATATCTGCCAGCTTAGGGGAATGCACAGCCTCTGGCTTGTATTTCTGCTGTTTTGCTTAGTCTGTCTTTACCATCAAACAGGGAACACCTGTAAGAGTGGGATGGATTTGTCTGAGAAAAGCCTTTATTCACCAAGCAGTTTATTATACTAAAGAAAGTTTTGCTTT